TTGGACATAAGGTAAGTGACTTATTTGAAGTAAATATTACTTTATAAAAAAAGTCGCCATCTAAAAAGTGCAAATGTCGCTAGAAGTCGCTAAATAATTATTTCTCGCTAAAACGATTTTTTTTTTATCCGCTAAACATTGTTAAAATCCGCTAGATCTAGCGAGAAAGTCAGTAAATAAACTTATTAAGCGCTTCTGTCTTAAGTTAGCTAATACCTCAAAATCCATTTTATTTTTATTTAATATTTCAGTTTTTTGTTTATCTTTGTGATTTCAAATAAAGTTTTTCTTTCTTTCTTTCTTTCTTTCTAAAACGGCAACACTGCAACTGATCTAACAAACATTTATCTTCGATACCTGCGCTGGTCAAACATGATTTTTGTCCTACTTATTCACCGCCCTAACAATAATACAAATCATTTTCCGTCCTTGTCACATAAACCCTATTCAATGTAGCAGGTAGCTGTACAGTGTACATGGGTTTGGGACCGTCGCAAAAGGGTCATATTCAAACAGCCCTCACTCTCGAGTTATGCAATTAAGAACAATAATTTTAATGTCAAATTGTAAGTAATATCCTTAAGTATTAGGATTGTATTAAAAAAATTTGTATCAATGTGCTAGTTTTTGAAGTATGTTAAGAAAAATAAAAAAATTGACAATTTTTTTCACTTAAATTAGCATTGCAAATGTTTTAAGATATTTTGTAGGGAAAACTTTCCATGATGTTTATTTTTATTTGATAGCCTTTTACCTTTTACCTTTTAAATAACATTTTTTTACATCTGTAGGACCTTTCTGTCCAGAGAAATCTGCATCTTTCTTGCAAAAAAAAATTAAATGGCGGCCATTCCGACAGGAGAATTCCGACAAGTAGAAGTAAGTAGAGGTAGACCCCCATATATGGGTGTTTTCGTCGATGAAATTAGGTATATTTTGTAACCTTAAATTATCGCTAGGTCGTGACCAGACACACTGTATATACTTTTAAAGAAAGTACAACAGGCGGTGTTATCGCTCTGGAAGCGAGTTCTCCCAGACAACCCTAGTTTAGAGAACTGTTGTTCACAGCGAATTGCAAATAGGGTAGGAGGTGTACATAAATTATATTAGTGTTAGAGTGTTATAGTTCAGGCAACATAGAATAATCTTTGCAAAAACCTGAGCTCCAACAACGCGTGTTTGCCTACAGCTAATATATAATTAAAGAATGGCGAAAAATAAAAAAATCATACAGGTTCTCACATCTATAATAAAGAAACTTAAAACAACAAAAAACAATTTGTTTCAAATGACATTTCAGAGCTTTGGAGACATAAAAAACTATAAATACACATACTTAGATGGAAATTTCATTTTACGGCTATGAACAACTTGGGATAATCAAAAGAAATGTAATGCAACCAGGGCCGTGAAGCAAGTAGAGGCACAAAGGAAATCTTTAAACAAAACATTTGACAGTGTTTCAATAATTTACAATTAAAAAAAAACATATTAAGGTACTCCCCTTTTTATGACGCTATCCTTTTTATGGAAACGAGACATTCCATCTTGGTCCTCAGGGTTGACTACGCATCTGCATTTTGTATATCAAGTGGACTCGTTTGTCACCCTTATTCTATTAAAAAAAACTATTTACTACAGATTATGTACTCTATTTCATTTGTCGAATATAAAACTCTAAAAGTTGATTACTACATATTGACAATAAAATTTCAAATTCATTACGTAAAATTCTATAAAAAATTTACACTAAACATTTTACGTAGAATCTTTGATCATGTTAAGCACTATTATGTCACTATTGGGAGGAACTCTTGTAGGTAACTCATACTACCATTGATAATGGGCCATAATGAACTAACTTCGAACAAAGCCTGAAAACCTAATTGCATTACACGTCAGATTATTACGTGTACAATGAAGTGCCTCCACGAGTCTTTCAGCCACCAGGGCGGCCACTTAGCAATGAAGCGAAATATCTGACAGTTTTCATATCGGGAGAAGTTAATTAGTCAGAAAAGTGTAGAGGTTAATGTTTCTTTCTGTGAACTATTACTTTTATTTTATACTCATTAGAATAAAAATGAATAAACCAAACAAATTTGCGAATAAATTGAATAATACAGTACTAAGGCATTGTTTTGTGTATACACACACAACAAACCGAAGAACTTCTATTTAAAACATAGTTTTTCAACAATCTACGTAACAAATACGTTCAGCTCAGTGCCAACTAGCGACATCTGGTGACCATAAGATTATAGCCCTCATTTCCCGCCAACATTACAAATTGAACACGGCCGCGTAAAATGCAATAAAGGGCGATACTTTTATATGTAGCTGTCTTGCTAACACACGAACGAGTCCATTGATCGACGCACCCATTTTAGATATTGGATTTTTCGTAATTGAATAAAACTATATATACCTACGGATTTAATCGCGTTTTATTAACTTTTTTTTAATTCCCGCTGTTTTAGATGCTTTACAACACCCATGGACACGGGGGGACTGAGATGTTTGACGTCTCAATGTCAAAATTTATATTCAAAAACTGAAGGTAGCTGGGCTAACTATGACATTGGGATATCAAACATCTCAGTCCCCCCGTAACCATGGGTGCTGTAAAACACCCGAAACCTCGGGAATATAAAGAAAAAAGTTAAAATAGTTAATTAAACGCGATAAAATCCGTAAATATAGTTTCATTCAATGTTCGCGTAAATTTAAGAAATAATTTTTCATAATTGCCCATAAAAAGCGAATTGATTAATGCAGTAGGCCGTAGACACCTAACTTTTTGACAAGGAACTCCTTGTTGTCGACGTGACACGTGACTAACGTCACGTTCAGTACGAGATCAATGCAACCTACACTCGGCATAGCAAGCCCATGTCGCGTTTATATCTTTATTAACCCATAAAACCCCAAACTTCCTTATTATAGGACGAAACACGACAGCAATACGATGCTCAGCCTAGAGACTTAATTTTTTCAAATTTGAGGTGCATCGTTATTCATCACATGCTCGCAAGTTTTATCCAGAATACGTATAGATAATAACTGCTGAAGAATAGTGGATGGGCTGAAAGAGTGCGCTGGCCGACAATCAACTTGATTTATTAATTTACTTTAACTTGGGCGGAGTCAATGTATACAGATAGCTCGGGATGGCGCTTTGATTACATGAAAAGGTCAGTAAAGTATACACAATAATAACTCTTATTTGCAAGTATTAATTTCTATAACAAATTGACAGCTAACATATAACCGTTTCGCCACAAATAAAAATAACTAAAACCGCTCTTGAAACATGAAAAATACCTGGACACAATAAACATAAAACTATTCTTAACCATAGATTTCAGTAAATATTAATGTGATAGACAAAATAAATGTAATTTAAAAGAGACGTTACGTAACAGATGATAAGGTTGCTATTACCCCTAATTGACACATTTCTACAAATTCATTTTGATAAACAAATTTAAAAAAAATGTTGTAGTTTTGGAAATATAAGTTCACAATAATTTACAATGTCGTTTAACCAGTCTCGTTAAGTATCCACGACCACATGGAAAGCGCTCCGTCTGATCGCCTTGGTTCAGAGTTCAAAGCACGACGGAAACCAATATTTGTACATCACAGTTTGTCGTTAGTTACGCTAAGGCTTCTCAAACTCTACCACCCCCCACCCTCTAGGTTCCCGCCTTGTTGTAGAGGGGGGAAATAGTTGCTGTGACCTGGTCACCCACTGTGAACAAAGTGGAACTCACTTGGCTGGCCCGAAGTAAAGGACTGGCCCGAGGTAAAGGGCCGACCGAAGGTGGGCGCTTCGTATGAGCTTGCCTAGCCCACTTCGGACGCGTGTTGGTGAACTATAGCGGAAGGGGTTTCCTCTCCACCCTCCCAACCGAGGTGAAATATCGGGGGAAGAGGAGTATCGGTATGGCGTAACCCGTACTTGTCCCTGCGAGGCGGGTCCGCATAGGCATTTCCATGTTCTCTTCTCAAACTATCTTATTAGAACATTATATCAAAAAAGAAAGCACGGTTAAGAGGGTGTCCGTTTTTGGCCGGATGTTGTTATGACTTATGGAAGATTGCGACCAAGAAGATTTCCGAATACTGTTGGAAGCTACATGAATACATAATGCATCCAAAGAGATAACTTATACATTATAATAATGTCCTCGAAACCGAATGTCAGTCATAACGACCAATTTCAACGGAGACTAGCAATTATATTTCCCTAGTACGCATGCTTGCGTAGGAGCACTCTCTATTCGTCGACACTAATAGTCCGATGGAACGGAAATCCGACACGATCGAAGAGATCAGGCGCAAGTCCAACAGCTTTACGTTGCTTTCCAAGACACGGGCTACTACTGAGAACTTCTTGACAGAAAACCCCATTAACTAGTTTTATGGCCCAACCCGAGTTTCTAACCCAGGACCTCGTGATCAAAGACAGCCTTCTATTTCACTGGAAACATCGAGAGGAACGTAGATATATACGTACCTATACTCACAGATGTAAAATATAATTCATAATAAAAGTCATTTTAACTTAATCGATTCGTGGGAAATATTGAACAGATAGAATAAATCGTAGGTTCCACGATGAATCGATATTTTTAAACCAATAATTAATTTTACAACTGTCAATAATTCTAACATAGTGACGTTCGCTTTCAGACGTAGAAAAGAATCTGATAAAAATTAATTTAATCTACATTCCATAGTGATGCAACAAACAAGAAAGGAACGAGTCACTCCAGAAACCGATTCAGTTCTTTAAAATACACAAAAATGTATTAAGCTTTCCATATTTCATCATTTATCAGTCCTCCAAACAATCTTTTATCATTCAAAGATGGCGGGCTCCTCTATTATCTCTCTCTCTCTCTTTACGCAACAGCCGTTTGTTACACAGTTAAACATTTTTACAACCACGCTATTTACAATAACTGAAACCAATTAACCATCCAATACCACTACCAATATGGCGCTGTACCATTCCGACATCTCTGCCCTTTTAATCGTTCATCTGGGAAAGCTGGAGCCCAAGGGAGGTTCCTTGCCACCCTCGGAGGCCTAGGGTTGCCTTTATTTGGCATATAATTTGGGTAGGTAACCCTCGCGTTCACACAGATTCCAGGTCGGCAACCGTTGCGTGGTGTGTTGGGATGACTTCCGCCTAGAGGGGGATTCGGGAATTTGTCCCAGGGATCCGGCATCATGCAGTTCCCACAGCTCCATGAATAATCACCTGTGAAACCGAAATAATATATGAAATATTAAAAAATGTACAGACAGCATACATACATTATTTCAAATTTAAAAAATAAAAATCTATAAATTACAGGTTCATGATACACATCATAAGAACATAATTATTACTGAAATACCATCGTTGATTACAACAAAAAAACATTAATTACATCAAAATCGATTTCATTCAATCGATTTATTCATGCACAGTCGATTCATTCGTTGAATCGATAGGTCAATTTATATGAAGTCGTATATAGAAAAATTAAAGTGATCATAGACACTAATAAAATACGAAAATGTTTTAATAATATATTTATTTTCATACGTCTACCGTTTGGCCAGCTTTTGGAAGAATATCTTTTACATTTTTCGATCCATCGACAAGTACAATTACACTTTATGGGAATCACATTATTAATGTCTGACAACTTGCAACACTGCGGTAAGTCCAAGTGCATAAAAAAAAGAAATCATAGTAAAAATAACAAACTTAAGAAACTGTCACTTGCTCAGTGCTGCATGAGATCTGAGAATGTTTCTACCACCCACATAACGGTCGAAATTATTATAAACGTACATGTCTAAGAATAGTGAGCTGGGCTTACATTCTAAAATTTTAACACAGTTTAGGTACAATCAAATTGTTAAAAATTAAATAATCATATACATATATTATATCCTTCATGTAAAATGTAATGAAATTCATATCACGTTCATGAGATTTTGAGGAAGAAATTATTTCTAATTACATTCTGCAAACTATACAATTTGTTAATACACTTATAGGTATATCTCGCTAATATATATGTATAACAACACAATATACATATAATTACTATGTACTATTTTATTGATTTTTGTTATACATTCCTAAGTTTTATCAAATGTATTTGCCATGAAACATTAATCCATTTTATTTTGACATAATTATTTCTTTCTTGATAACAAATTCAGAGTATTATTTATTATTTAATCCACGGACTTTTTTCCAAACTAATCTAGATTTCGTAATTTTTTCACATCTTTCATATACCTCAACTAAAACCGCGTACTCAAATCCGTATTAAAGAACAACTAACTATCCACGATGAAAGTTTAAAGCACATATTTCAATATTCCATCGACAAAGTGTAAGGCATTTTGTCTAAAAAATAATTTTTCGATCGTTATTTAATATGTGAAAGTATTTTAAAACTTAACCTTTTTAATTATAACTCTATAAATATAACAACATACTTAATTATTCATCATTGTTATTAACATATCAGCTAACATAATGTTAAAATTCCTCACAAAATGTAAAACTTTAAGAATATAGCCATTAGGAATAGTTTAGTATTCGTACCGTTCCGCCACACATTTTAATAATTTGTTAACTGCCTTGTTGGTCTAGTAATTGTAGTAGTGCGATTGTTGATCAGTTCGGAGCCAGGAAGTTGACGGTGTCTCAGCCCCGTGCCTCGGAAAGCACGTAAAGCCGGTGGTCCTGCGGCTGATCTCTCTCCGGTCTTGTCGGTTTACCGTTCCATCAGATTATGAGAGTGAGGGAATAGATAGTGCACCTATACTTGCGTATACACTTTGCAACTATAATCCTGTCCTGTGCCGATGGCTAGTTTCCGTTGAGACAGGCCGCCGTGACCGAAATTCAGTCGAGAGGACATTATTAATATTTATTTTGTTAATATTATTCAATGAATAATCCAGTATTATGGAAAAATGGTGTGTGACAAGGACAGGAAATCCTCTTTACTAATAAAGAGGCATTCCTTTTCAGTCTTAACCAACGCAACTGCATTTTGATTTTCAATCTATGAATCCAGCATCCACTGACCATTAGGTGACTGCGTCTCTTTAGTCAGTAGTCTTTTTTATAGGAGAGGGGGCAAACGAGTATACGGCTCACCTGGTGGTAAGTGATTACCGCCGCCCACGAACAACTGCAACACGAGGGGGATTGCAGATACGTTGTCGGCCTTTTAAAAAGGAGTAGGCTCTTTTCTTGAAGGTCCCATGTCGTATCGGTCCGGAAAAATCTCCGGTGTTAAACGATTCCACAAGGAAGTTGTGCGAGGAAGTAAACTTCTTTTAATTCGCACAGCGGTGGACCGCCAGTCATTCGGATGGTATGGATGGTGTCGCGAGTTTTGTCGCGATGTGCGATGGTAAAATTATGCGGCTGATATTAGTCATTCTTATTAGCAGATAAACGTACAACCAATACCAATATCCTGGATGAACCTGCAAATGTTGGTCGTCAAATGGCCATAAAGTTTAACATTTTGTCATTTTTACCAACTTAACGTTATACAAAGAATTTTCAAATTAGTAATCATTAACGCCTTATTGCCATAAAATTATTGTGAATCACAATTGTATATCGTTTTCAGATGTATTTTAAATTAAATTTTGTTAACACTAAATAAAGCAAAGTTACTTAAAGCTTATATAGAACCGACAGATAGTACATTTACTTAGGTATAACTCTTTATTTAGGCACAATTCAAATATTGAAACTAGATCTAGCATTCTAGGCCTACAGTTCGAGTTCAGTGAGAAATTCCACTTAAATTTCAACTATAACATCCTACGAATAGATACCATAATAATACAACTTTAAGTAATAATACAGAACAGCAGAAATCCCCACCGAACGTCTTTAGAAGTTGTTACCATTTTGATTATTAATTATATATAACACATTAATATACATAAAATTAAATATTTGACTACCCTAAGAAGGGTCATATTATTCTGACGGGTGTCAGAAAGCAGTGTTGCCAATTTTTTTCTATTCAAGAAACAAATTTTATATTTACCACATTCAGGAATTTAAATTTAATTTATATCTTGTTTAGCTTTCAGTAGTTTAATTTAGTAACTTTATTAAATTAAAAATCAAAATTATCTGGCCTTAAAATTTTAATAAATAAAAAGCACCGACAGAATGACTTCGGTTTTGGTAACGCACGTCATTATACACAACATGTAACAAAAACGCTGTCGTTCCCGTTAAATGCGTAATAAAAATCGGTATTCAAATGTTCCGTGCGTAAATTTTATTTCTATAATACCTTTACTTCACGAAACTCGTCCATATTTTTTTAATACGGTTAAAGAATGGGATTGAAAAAATAACGTCGCCCCTTTTCTCTTCTCGCTCGCACACTGTTACTATCTATACTCACACACGCCGGTAAAGACTGCAAAAAAAATTAAGTTGTGATATGTGTTTTTCGTACGTTCTATAATTTCAGTCCAACTTGTCTTAGGAATCAATGACAACAAATTCCCTTAAACTACAAAAAAATCAGTCCGGTTTCGATAATTTGTGAGCTACGACGCGTTTTGAGAGTTTTCTCTATATTGTTGTTTTTGTTTGTTAATATTTTTGTATAAAATATTAACAGGAGTGTTTTAGACTAAATTTTATTCGAAAAATCTTGAGATTTAGTTAAAATTGAAATATTAATTGCGCGTCGCTAGTTATAAATGGTATTTTAAAATAAATATACCTACTTGTGTATACAATTATTTTCAAATATTTTCCCATTAATTACATGTTGTGTATCTACAATGCCTCTTCTTTGCTGAAATCCTTTTCATTTAATAAACACAAGTTTCTAGTACATTATCTTGAATTACGAATATTTTTCTTGAGTTGTTTCGTTTCTCTTTCTTACACTCAGTTATCTCGATCTGACACCCGTGCAACGCTGGCTACAGTTAGGAACAGACACTGTAACAGGAACAACACTCATAGACTCCGTAACACCTACTGAACACCCGAATCACCGTTGATATTGTCAATGTAACGATCTGAGACACAGCGGACGCGTTCGCGCACCATCCTGTACAACCATACGTACAATTTTGAACTTTACGCCGTTGAAATAAGGTTAACATCTATTAACAGTATACATATTTTTTGTAGAATAAAGTTGACAAACGAACACAGCCCACCTGATGGTAAGTGGATACTTTCGCCTATAGACACCTACCTATATCTATCCTCCGTTAAGAATCATAATGCAGATGCGTTGTCACCCTTGAGGACTAAGATGGAATGCCTCATTTCAGAAAAAAGGGTCTTCGATTTTCTACACTTACCATAAGAAATATAGCAGCATTAAGCTCGTATTCTGTGAGATAATATTGCAAAGGACCTCATGCTAAAACAATAATCAACAATTTCATTTTGTAAGACATGTTTTATACGTATTAGAGAAATAAACATCAGAACGTACCAGCAGTTGGGTCAATTACAAATATTAGATCAAGTATGAAATTGGTCTATATTGGTGACACGTCGCGTCCGCTGTGAATCAAGACTTCAAAATACACACGAAACTAACACCGATTTATGAATACAACAGAATCTCATACATTCGTTAACATAGAAATCGGAATCTCCTGCAAAGTCTTGTGAAATTAATTAAATATATTTTTTTTAGGCGACAAACCTAACACAAACTTTGTCAAATATTTTTACTTAGGTACATTATAAATTAAAAATATAACTGTACAAAAACTTAAACTATTGAATAAAAATAAAAATATAAATTTCTTCGCAACCTTCCGCTAACTAAATACAATGATGTGTCTTACCTGGATTCAAGAGCATCTCCCGCCCTCCCACAATTGCATGCACTAAATCCGTCACCACTAGTCCCAGCACCACTACTCCTGGCACCACTATTTCCAACACCATTATTCCAGTTAAGACACACCGTCGACGACAATACGACACGTGTTTCGCCTCTACACGAGGCATCCTCAGGTGATGTAGACTCGACGGCGGCTGACCGCTAAGCTAGGCGGCTGAGCGCTAAGACTTAGCGGTCAGCCGCCGTAGAGTCTACATTACCTGATGATTTATTATAATGGATTGTCGCAAAGTAACGCCTGATTCTATCAATTATCTTAAACCATTGAATTAAATTGTTGACGATAAACTGGCTTCATATTTGGTAAATTTGAGGTAAATTCGTCTAT